GGAAAGAAATCCATTAATGCAGAGGAAAGGGAAATTAGAAGAGGAATAACTCTTATGAAGAAAATCATTTATGATAGAAATAGAGGAATAAAATATGATGTGCATTGGAATTCAAATGAGCAACTAATTGAACCTAACAGTTCTAAATTGACAAGTTACATTGGTTCACTTGTAAGGAGAGAAGTTCCAATTAATTATGATAATTGGAGAAACGAGCAGTTGGATACCGCTAAAGACAAAATCTGGAGTGAGATACAGGTACCATATGTGATGTTATTTGTTTTTGATTACGATTATGTCTTTAAATTACTTATACTAACACACTCCATGTATGTTTTTCGTAGAGGTCTTTCAACATTGATGATACCAGAAGAGCTTATTGTTTTCAATTGCCCGGAAAAAGACATAGAGGGTTTATATCTTTTTTATCAAACAAGTATCTAAGAGATACCGAAATTTTTTTTGTTGATGTCGAGCGTCCAAAGTATATATGCATAATTAATTTCATCGGAAGAACGGGACACTTTTAAAGAAAAACAATATTGCTTTAGAGGGGGATGCGTTATTACCAATACCAGACGATGTTTCAGATGCAACATTGGTGGGAGAGGTAGTAGTTGCCTATGTTGCATGGCCGTCAAGCCTCATTCACGTAGATGATCAAGTATGCTTAAAACCATTATGAACCTTTGAGTATTCAAAGTTTTTACGAGTATTTTACGTACATGTTTTTTACATGGTAATATTAGACTCCTATAAAACCCAAATCAAAAGATAAGGGGATGATGCAGCAAACCGAGTCAGTTGCATCAAAAAAAGAGGTATAACACAATTATATGATATTTATGCATAGAATGATCTTATACTTCACCTAACTAATTATATGATATTTAGATGCAAGCTAAAGAGATTGAACAAGTCAATAGGGGTAAGAAGACTGCGGCTAGCAAAAAAAACTACTTCTCAGTATAGGTCGTGCCTTCGTACATATATAGGAATAAAAGATATTCCAATTGGTGGTACTCGTCTTATACCTATGCCGATAAAAATTTTTGGTTATGAATACATGGAAGCAATTGGTAGAGAAGATATGGATCAAGTTTTTCAACATTTGACTTTAGGCCTCAGTATTATCGATACATACATCAGGTATACTCCGATCAACTTTGTTTAATTAAATGAAAAATTTATTTACTCATTTCAACGAATATAGTCTAATTTTAATGATGCTTTTATTTAAGGTTTCTGTATGACAAAGTGATGCGCCCGCGTGGATTGGAAGAAAGATTCACTTTCTTAGCTCCTAACACCGTCAACACACGGTTAATCCTAACAAAATCAGATGATGTCATATTATATGTACTCGGTTTATTTGTGGCCAACAAAGATACAGAAAGGTTGTTCTTTTTACCATATAGTACTGGCCACTGGTTAGATTTTCATCCTAACTTCATCTATTATAATTTTTCGTTTTTTGACGTTGTGTAGAAACTTTCCATCTAACATTTGTTTAATCTTACAGTGGACATTGGTTGTTACTTACGATTAATCCTATAGTATAAATTATATACTATCTGAATTCGTTATACAATGATTGGTCAATATACCCAAATTTGAAGAAGATAATTGATACGTAAGTGAGATTGTTCTAAATATTTGTGTGTATATTTATTTATCTATGTGAGATTGTTCTAAATATTCTTTTATATTTTATTATAGCATTCTACAAGTTTTTCGATCACAAAGAGGTATTCAAGTACCAAAGAGTAGAGCCAACAACATTACGTGGATCAGAGTGCATGTATATTTTCATAATTTTGATTATGTTAGTGATGATACTTGATAAAACAAGTTAAGGGGTATATTTTGATATATATCCATATTTTCTTTCCATGTGTAGTGTCCTCATCAAAGTAATGGTAAAGATTACAGTTATTTCATATTGAGGTTTATGAAAGAAACGCTTCTTTTGTACCGAATAGAGATTCCATCCATGATATGGATTTCTAACTTAGGAATTATTTTAATATTTCTCATAAAATGACATAGTGTTTTAACTAAATCACATACTATGTTATATTGTTATGTAGTACTTTGACGAATTCAATTGTGCTCATTACTCAAAAGATCAATTGGATGAGCTTATGGATGAATGGTGTCAATTCATTATGGAGTTGAGAATTTTATAAGGTATATTGTCTTTCTTTCATTGATGAGAATTTTGAGTATAACTTTCGAGTTTTGAGTATAAATTCGAATAAAGTTTTGTTTTATTTTGGTATGAATTCCAATCTTTTGGTTTTGTTTCAGGTTATAGGTGCAGATGTAGAAGATAGAGCTAACAAGTTCATTGTTGTTGTTTTTTAGAAATTATTGAAGATAGTAATATGTAGATTAAACATCAATTTAGAATTTTAGAATTTTCAAGTTGTATCATCAATTTGCAAGTTGTTGTTGTATATATCATCAATTATATATATGTAGATTTTTTGTATATACAAATTTGGTGCATTTATATTGGGTTGAAGCTACCAAAATCTGGTGCAAAATATGGTGAAAATCTGGTGCAAAATATGGTGAAAATCTGGTGAAATTTTATTGTAGATATTAGACAGCGCTTTCTGTAAGTGAAAATAAGTCTAATATCTAAAAAAATTTGTAAACATTAGACAACGCTTAATGAGAAAAGCGCTGTCTAAAATGGGGAAAAAGCGCTGGCTAAAGTGGGGAAAAGCGCTGCCTAAAATGGGAAAGCGCTGCCTAAAGTGGGGAAAAGACAGCGCTTTTAAAGAAAAATGTTGTCTAAAGCGATGCGTAAAAGATAACCAAAAGCGTCGTCTAAAGAGAAAGCGCTGCTAAAGGGATACATAGGAAAACGCTTTAAAAGAGAAAGCGCTGCTAAAGGGATGCATAAGAAAGCGCTTTTAAAGTAAAAGTGTTGCCTAAAGGGGATATATAGCAGCGCTTTTACATTAATCTAAAGCGTTGCATTTACTTATAGCAACGCTGGTTTAAGAAGCTCTTTAAAGCGCTGTCTATGGCCAAAAAAAGCGTTCTCTATGTGCTTGTTTGGCATAATGATGACATATGTTAGGACGTTGGTCAACCTGTGATGTTAAGGCATTTGTCCAGTGAAGGGCTCAATCCCATTGTGTGAATTGAATGCGTTATTATGATGTGCTCCGGTTCCAAAAGGTAATCGATCCTATGGTGGAGATCTTTGGAGAGCGATGACCTAGTGTTCATCAGTGAAGTTTGGTACCACATGCATGAGTCGATGAAGTTGCATTACATTCTTTGTGTCTTTATATGATTATTAATTAAATGATATTTTGATGATGTTGTGACTTAAGTGATGTTCTGGTAATGATTGTTGATTTGATGATATGATGAAGTTGTGAATAAATGATGTGAAAGTGTGAGTATATATGTGATGTATGACAATATGTGACTTCTTGATGATTGTTGTTGTAACTACTATATCTATTTCATATATCTTTTGTAATGATTTGTGATTACTCACTGTTTCTGTTTGAATGTTGCCTCCACGTGGATAACACGCATGTGATTGTGAATAGCTCGTAGAAGCATGAGGACAGCTTTGGATTTATTTAGTGTGATTATTGAATAAAAAATGTCTTGCTCTAATATGTAACATCGGGGTTAGGAACGCTTGAGTTTTAAAGTTTGTTGCTTTGTTTAAAACACATCTCATGAGTTTTCGTTATTTGTTGAATTTATTTTGATGTTAATCTTGGATAAGACCAAAAGGTATTGATGTTTTGATGAAATAAATGAAATTATGATTGAGACTAAGATTCCGCTGCGATGTCTAAATTTATATGTTGATGTTATTAAAGAATTAGTTGTGATAATTTTTGAAAACCCGTGTTACGGAGCAGGATGTTTGATTAAGATGTTTGATGACAATGTGACACACTTGTTGGTGCTTTGTGCTGATTTATTTTATTAACTTATTCGTGAATTAATCTCGGGGTTTAGAAGGGTGTTACACTTAGGCCTATATCTATACTAATCCAAGTCTTAAGTTGTTCATAATTGACACTAACTTCGAGTTTAACTCTCACTTATCACTAATTATAAAAGTTAGGGAAGTTATAGATGTCAAAAGGTCACAAAAACTGTCAAAAACTCAAAAGTTCAAAATTTCTTGAGGACTGACACAGGTCGGGTCAGGAAACACAGGATGACCGTGTTAGTCTCTGGTTGCTTGTATGAAGGAGCTTTAAAGGGACCAACACGGTCCGTGTCATAGAACACGGTCAAACCATATTGTTCTCGAGAAATTTATACTAGAAGCGTTCATTTTTGTGAGATCTTCGATCTTTTTCATTCTGATTCGCTCTATTAACCTCTTATTACTTGAAAAGAAACAAAGGAGAGACAAACGCGTAAAAATAAACTAAATTAATGAAAACGCAAATGAAATAAAAGGAGAAAAAGCAAGAAATGTGATACATTTACGGTTTAACATTGTGAGTTAATATTTTGCAATATATTAGTTTTTATAATGACTAGCCCTCATCAATCACGAAATAAATAAAAAATTATAACAACCTTTTCTATACATATAATTTTAAGAAAAATGTTACGCTATTGGCAATTTGTGCCCGTATATCTCTAAAAAGAACCTAATTTTTTATATTGCAATATATAGGAGCATTAAAATTAATAGCTCAATGTTTTCTCATCATGATATTTTTAAAATGCCACACCAACATATCCATTACATATTGAATGTTAATTTGAATAGATAGACTAATATTGAGGAAATTTTAAAATCCGGATATCAAGGGTTTAGCTTTTATTGAATTTAAAAATGGGTTTAAAATTCAATTCGAACCTATTACACCTCCTTAAATAGAGAAAATGGGTTGAACCAGCACATCTCAACACCATCAGCACCCTTAATAACAGAATCAACGAAACAACTTTCAACAGAATGTATGATCAGACCAAATAATAATATTGAACCAGGCTTAACTATTTTGGTGCTGCAGTTGTGAATACCAGTTCACTTTGTTCTTGAGGAGTTCAAAATTCAGTAGTGTCTGATTCAAGGGTTCCATTGGAATAGAAGAAATTCCTTCTGTATCACTTAATATTGCAGATCCTTGAGCAGCTCTTATCCTTTTTGTTAGGGGAAACTGTTGATGTAGTATAGGTATGCTAAAAACAGGTTCAACCTGCCACGGACTTACATGTCTTAGATTCTTCGAGACTTTCGGATCATTCCATTCAACCTATAATAATGAGATGAGAATAGTAATAATGCAATAGCAATCATTTAAAATATGTGATAAATTATAGTTTGTATCTACAAGTCAGATTTCTTATGAGAATCAAAATAACAACTCTACTTAGCATCAAGAACCTTTACAACGAGAATTATAATAACGTAAAAAGAAGATAGCATATATTTACGTGTAGCATGCGCCATGGATGAGTTGAAGAATGGGAGATTGCAGATATTGTGCCATGCAAAAATGTGCATCTCTTTGAAGAATCATCATTCTTCACTGTGTGCTTAACTCTCATTCCACGACACCAATGAATGTTCATTGCATCCTTCACAACTTTATCTTCCACCACAAAATCAAAACCATCAACCGTTGGATAACACAAGACTTCAAATGGTGTATTCTTCTCAGCCAATTCTACTGCGTTGATGACTGTCTTTTCCGTTATTTTCCTAGCGGCAGCAACCATATTCTTCCGGCGGATTCCAACAAATATCTTTTCAGCCGAGTTTTTAATGAAAACAAGGGTATCACCACCGACGAGTTGCTTCTTGTCAACAAATGCACTCCAGCCGGTGGAGAATAGGTATCGCTTGGGATTTCCGCGAGAGACGTGGCGAATGGTCCAGGAAACACCACAAACATCGGTGATGGAGAGTTCTTGAGACGGTAATGGAGTTGTCAAGTCAAGTGGCGGAAAGATTGAGTTGGCGCAGGCCCGAGGTACAGAGAATCCACCTCCATTGTTAGCATCAGAGTTAGATATAGTCTTGGCATAGGAAACAACATGATCACCATTGTCTTCTTCGTTGATAACCTCGAGAGGAACAACAGCACTTCCGTCAGTCACAGGAGTGAGGAGTAGTTTTGCAAAGATTTGATCAGTTTCAAGATCTGCAAGAAAATCAACAGAAGAGACTGTGCAAAGAATGAATGGGCCGCCATGAGTGAGGAGGGAGAGTGTTTGAGTGTTAGGGGTTATACGAGAGTGTTCTAAATGACCAATAGGAAAATAATATACTTTAGAATGAAGTTTCGGAACTGTGAAATGACTTCCTGCACATTCTTGCCATATTCTTGGATCAACATTGCGGAATTGTTCTTGATGAGCCATGGCGAAATTTAGCTAGTAAAAGAGTTGGGAGTGTTTTTCTTGAAGAAGAGCGTAGAGTGAGAATGAGTTATTATAGAGAAAGAGCGCCAATATATAACAATCAGTTGTGGAACAAATTAAGTGAGTATAGAGTGTCTATTCTGTTTTAATATATTAAGGCTATAAGTTAAATATTGTGAATTTCCGCTAACATTTCATTCCTCAATTATTTTTTCATTTGTTTGTATTCAAATTCAATAATAGAAGACACACGTGTGACTTGAAAACGTTAACCCTTAATGGGGAAACATAGAAACAGCTGGCTTGCCCGAACTGGTGGGAAACAAAAAGTATTAAGACTAAATTTGGTCATCATCTCCGGGGATGACTGAAACATCATGATCTCCGGCAAGTTCAGGAAAAAGTGCAGATTAAGTCGATTTGCAAGAAATGAGTACGAAAAAATCAAAGGAGGAAACAATGAGTGGCAGACAACACCAGATCAAGTTAGGAATGTATCATTCAAATCCTACAAGGAGATGGTCACAAGACATAATATGTGTTGTAATTGTAATTTTTTATGTTGAAGTTGTATGTTATTCGACAAAAACAAAGTTGTGTCGAAACTAGTCTAACAGGAATCGAGTTGTATTAAATGTTGAAGTGTCGAAACATATTGTTTCACATGGGATTTAGATTTAGGTCTAAATAGTTATTTTGAGTTTTTGTATTTTTGAGTTTTGGTTTAGGAAGGAAGTAAGCTCAATTACATATAGAGGGAGTAATCCATATTTCGTAAGGGTTTGAAATTTCTAAGAAACTTACGGTTGCAAGAGAGAAATAAGAGAAGTTTCCATAGTTTGTGGACAAAGAGAAATTCTGCAGAAATCATCATCTTTTTTCCCAATTTTCGTCAAATCCTAATCTTCTTTCTTTCTCAATTTTGTTTCTTTTCATTGTTACTATGTAGAGATAATCATCTTGCAATCAAGGTTGATTAATTCACTCAAGTGAAGAGTGAAGAACAAGGGATTTTGATTGGTGTCATTGAATCTTGTTCATCAAGGTTGATTCGGAAATACTCAAATTTTTTAGTTTAATTTCAACATCTAGTATCTAGAGCGCTGGCTGAGAGATTCGTGGGAAGAAAATCACAATTTTGAAAGTTGATAACTATGAGAATTTTCCAACAAGTCTTCCAATTTTGAATGTTGATAACTATGAGAATTGGTGCAAGCAGGTGAAGGTTGTGTTATGTTGTCAAGATCTCTGGGATCTTGCAAAAGAAAGATTAGAACCGCTTGAAGAAGATGCATCAGAAGCAGAAGAGGCAACACAGAAGGAATTGAAGAAGAAGAATTATAAAAGCTCTCTTTATAACTAATCAATGTTTGAGTCCAAACAACTTTGAAAAAATGGGCGATGTAGAATCTGCAAAAGAAGCCTGGGATATTCTTGAAAAGTCTTTTGAAGGTGTAGAAAAGATAAAAGAAGTGAGGTTACAAACTCACAAAAGAACATATGAATTGATTCAGATGGAAGAAAGTGAAAGTATAACTTATTTCTTTATTAGGGTTACGAAACTGGTGAATCAAATCAAGGTATATGGAGAAGCGAGTTGTCGCAAAGATCTCGAGGTCTTTGGCTCCAAAATTCGACCACGTGGGGGTTTCCATAGAAGAGTCGAAAGATTTATCGACATTGACAAAGGAAGAGCTTCAAGGGACACTTGAATCTCATGAACAAAGTGTATATACATATAATTTTTTCTTCAAATAATAAAGTATATATATATATATATATATATATATATATATATATATATATATATATATATATATATATATATATATATATATATATATATATATATATATATATATTTATTACATAAAGATTTAATATATTATTTTTTTAATATAATTTGTAATGCTAAGTGTACCAAATAGGAATAATATGTCTCTGTTAGTGCAGTTCATATTTGTATGGTTCATGCTACTTCTATGGACCGTGCTACTGTTAGTGCAGCTTAGAATATATTTTTGATCTAACATAATTCAAAGTTTAATCAAAGATACTTTATTATGATCAAAGCTACTGTATTATGATCAATTTATTATGAAGTTTTATCAAAGTTTGCTATGCTACATAATTCAACTTATCTCTGTTAGATCAAGAATTCAATTTTTCAAGCAATATAAATTCACAGTTACAGTGTAGCTGATATAGTGTTTTGGAATTAAATTCAAAGTTTATTGCAAAATTTTCAAAGTTCCAGGAGTAGAATTCAAAGAAAATGCTATAGTGTTTTGCAATTCTAAATTGAAAATTTCTCTATGGTTCCATTTCTTTCGGCATTTCATTTAGATGGAAAGGTATATAATGGAGCTACAAACTTTAATCTTTGAAGATGGATCGATGGAACCTGAAAATGGGATTACCCACATACCATTTTGATCTGACCTGATCAGAAGGTTTGGACCGTCACGGCTTACTCCGAGCTGAAGGCTTTTTGAACGAGGAGGGGGGGGGGGGGTACCTGCAAGGCACTCCGATGCTAAAGTCAGTGGGAGTACGAGCAGATAATAGAGTTGAGGTTAGAATGATGAATACCTGACCCTCTGGAAGCAGAGGGTATTTATAGCCCCCAGCGCTGGGCCAAGGTTCCTTCATTGGGCTGGGCGGATTTGGCCCAATGGAGGAACTGCCAGGTTCTACGTGGGTAGTGGGGACCAGCACGTGGTCCCCCTCCTGGATATGCTGATGAAATGCGGGCGGACGGAGACGCGGTCTTTCCGGAGTTTCGTTGGGGCAATGGAAGACTAAGTCTGCCCTAGCAAGTTAGCTCGAGACCATGTCGAGCTGCGCAGCACGGTGCCGAGCTCGACGCCAAGACCTCGAGCTGGACGGCGGGTGTCGAGCTGGAAGCCAGGACATAGAGCTGGACGGCATGCTGTCGAGCGGGACTTCATCGTGGGGCTAGACACCGAGATGTCGAGGTGGACATCAGGGTGTCGGGCATGGACGTGACCCCCTTTGCCCAGTGTGGTCCTTAGTGAGTCCCTTTGGACTGGGCCTTAGTAATGCTTTTGGGCCTGTCGGGCCCAGTCCAGAACAGGAGCCCCCCAAGTCGTGGTTCCTTTGCGAGGAGCCATGACTTGAAACAGTTGTTCCGTCGCTGAGGTCTCGTGCCCGGGATGGAGGCGTGGACCCTCGAGGGGTCTCCTCGTGCCGTGCTCGAAGACGTCGTCGGTGGTGGATGCGTGGAGGATCCGTACCGGGCGCGTCAGTCGAGCACACGAGGCATCTTTCGGGAGTTGTGCCGCCACCCTAGGGGGGTAGGGCCATCATTGCGTTGGGTGCAGTGCGTCGAGGAGATGGAGTCCGTGGCTGAACGAGGTGACGTTTGGTATTCCACGTCATCACTATAAATAGGGTCCTTGGGCCCCATAATACGTTTTCCGTTCTCCGTGCTCTCTTCGTTGCAACTCTCAACACTCTCTCCAATCGTGACTTCCCGTCTCAGATTCTTCATTTCTTAGCCAAATCCCAACTTTGATCCAAGTAAGTGATCCATTTTCTTTATTTTCCTGTTTTAGAATGCATGATTCTTGGAAATTGTAGATGTTTTAGGACCGTTAATGTGGGGTTAGCCCGGTAAACTCGTGTTTTGCCCGACAGATTCATGTCTAGGGCCGGCAAACGCATACTTGTGGCCGACACATTCATAGTTTTAGGTGAAAACTTCAGAGCTGCCCGGGGTCTTCATGATCCTGGGCGCCTGATTCATGACGGTGCCCGGTATGTTTATGGTTGTGGCCGTGGGCTTCATAATGCGGCTCGCCATGTTCATACCTCGGATCGACATGCTTGAAGAGTGGCCGCGCAGTTGGTTTGTGGAAGAACACTGGATTCAGGAGAGTCAGGGAGGCATCCACTTGTGAAAATGGACTTGTGTGGTAGTGTATGGACGACATGATTATGTCGAGCATAGGACTTCATGCTCAATCTGATTGGTTTCCCGTGCTCTGCAGGTAACCATGGCGGATGAGCCGAGCTCCTCCGGTCGTCGTGACAGCGAAGAACAGAGTGCCGACGAGTCGGCCAACCTTATAGACACCATGACCGACCCATCGCTGGAATGGGTGGGCGCCGAGCCTCGGGGGACGGCGTCGATATACAGTCGGGATGACCGACATCCATTCACCGCTATCGAAGAGGGGCAGGACCAGCCCGACTTTCAGCCGAATTTCGAGGTCATGCTGCCGTCGACCAACGCCAGAATTTGTTCGATGTACCCGGACTACAACTTTGCGATGTACGAGATCGCGTTTAAAGACTTGGGGCTGCGGCTGCCGTTCACAGACTTTGAGACCGGGGTCTTTACGCATTTGGAGCTGGCCCCGTCCCAGCTACACCCAAACTCTCTCGCCTTCATCCGGGCGTTTGAGCTGACGTGTCGCTACTTAATGATAGGGGCGACCATCCCTCTCTTCTTTAGGGTATTCCACCTATAGCGTCAGTCCCGAGGAGGGAAGCACAGCTGGGTGTCCCTGAAGCAGTCGAGGAGACTGTTTAGGATGTACATGGACTCTGTGAGGGGGTTCAAGGATAAGTGGTATGTGGTACGCCCTACTACCGACTCTGCTGTGGATTCCCTCTTCGAGGAGGAAGGGCCGGTCAGCGATGATGACGGGGAAGCAATGTTGGCCGATGACGGGAGCCCCGTGTTAGGACGTCGGGCTAAGTTCCCGGTGTACTGGATGTCCCGACACTTCCAGCATGGAACCGGTTATTTCCATACCGCAGTCGGGGACATGTGCACGGAGGATCAGCGGGCGTATGAGGCTCTCTGTAACTTTGTCGACAGTTTTCATCCCGCCCAATGGGTTACGCGGGAAGGGAATGATATCCTCGACAAGGACGGTTACCCGACATTCGAGGCTCGCCCGATCGACACCAAGGCGTTGGTGGAATGTTCAACATACAGGCAGGCAGCCCGCCTGTTAGGTTGTTTGTTT